AAGCATGGCTTCACCGAACCACCCATTAGACGTCCGTCACAGAGCTCGTCTATACCATTTCAAGGTAGCTTTGAGAAACTATAATTTTCATTTGCGAAACCGTCAGTTGGAATTGNATGGGAATTTCCCCTTTTACTGTAATTCACATTGCGTAATAAAAAATGTCATCTGTCGATGCTTCTTAAGCAACAATACTTATTCCGAAAACGAGTAACCCTTTCCTACCAAACAGATTAACTGCGTTCTGTTTCGTTCATTTCTGTGGGTTGAGCCAGGAATGGGCGAGCTACGCGTATGGTTTGGTTGCTAGGCCATTGATGACAGCCAGCCCATTCACTCAAGTTCACCCAAAGACCTCCAACCTCTCCCGCTGAACAAATTTTGTTGTTCCAATAGACCCATGATTCTCGTATATAGCTCGGATTGCACCGTAAGCTCAAAACTCGTCCCTGGTCATAGTTACTGTGGTCAGCTTTGATTAGTGAGCTATCGTCAATGTTAGAGCAACTACGAGTAAATGTACTTTAGCTGTAGTGGGCACAGTGCGTCATCTTTCGTGCATACCGAGCGGTTGTCACATGGTTCACCGACCCACCCATTCGACGTCCGTCACAGAGTTCGACAAGATGCACGACTGAGGTCGGTCTCATTTCAACACAGAAAGACCGTCGGAAGACAGGTGGTCGATCCGGGAGTAGAAAAGATGTATGATCAATTGACCAATGAGGTGCGCTGAACGGAAGCATTTCTTTCTCATGTCTAAGTGATGGTTTCTCAATTCCAAATGACGGCTTCGCAAATCAAAATTATAGTTCCTCAAAGCTATCTTAAAATGGTATACATACACATATAGAATGTGGCAATATTTCGCCGTATGCATGGCAGTGGTCGGCCTTTGATGAGAAGCTGGAGACCACAGCGAGAGGGGTTTTTCGGTAACTGAAGAGAAATTAATTTGTGCCCTCATCAGCTTCAAAAAGACGCCGTTGAGCGAGAACCAAAGATTCATTTTGAAGGATAGATCGAAGATAGAGGTTAGGAGATAGGAAGGACAGAGGTACCGTGACGAAATGAATGCGAGGTGGCGG